TTTTAAATAGCGAATATTTGTATTAGTATTTAGTAGTACGTGAATTATTATCTGGTGTTCTGATACCTGCGTGGGATTTGTAACACTTTGGGAATTACTTGTTTACCGGGGTTTAGTAGCCACTTGTAGGAAAAACACGACTGTCACGTCAAAAGAGCCGACCCTATTATGGACCATTTTAATATTGTTGAATGATCTTGAGTTAATTTAGAAAGATACTTGTGGGCGCTTTCAAATGATAGTCAATCTATCAATTTCTGATGGGAGTATGATCTTGGTTATGCAGCCTTTGATTATCCTACGATCATCGAAAATGTAATCTATCATTTACAATTTTATGGGGCTTCAGTAGACAGTCCTTCTAAAGAGGAAAATGTTTACATCCTCAATTCTCGTTGTCCTGCTATTTCATATGCCGTAATCAAAGCAATGAGATTGGGACTTGGTTAAATAAATTGACAGAAGCTGTTAAATATACATGTACTATGTACTAATATTGCATGGGTTATTTCTACGTGCGACATCTAACACCAACCGAAGATGGATGTTATTTATACTCACACTTTACAATTCGATCCCAAATCTTGCCAAACTGAATCTGAAACGTTTTCGATGCTGTTGCCGTACATTGCGCTAGAATAAAAAAAAGGAATAAATCATTTATGAGTGCAATGGTGAGAATAAATTCGTTGAGTTATTCTTCCAACGGCACAGATATGCTCCCATCCACGGCAAATTTGGAAGAAAAGTAAACATGATAACCCTCCTTACGATATTTCCTCTCACAACTTCATCTTGTAGTTTTTTTTACGAAAACCACTGAGCATGTCATCTGTAACGTCTCTCAGTTTGATTTGCTATGGACGATTCTTATTATAACTCCAATTTTGAATTCGAATTTGTCACCAAGAGTTCTGAATAGCTTTCCTTAAACTATCTGGTAATATCAGCTCCATCGATATTTTTAGTTTGATGCTCAGCTCTTTGGTGTTTCAGCCCACAACAATCTCTTGGATATTAAAATGTCTTCAAACATGTATTGGAAGTTGGTTCGAGTTAGCCCCATTTAGAAAGAGAACGAACATCTTCTGCTGATAAACTGTGGTACCCAGTTGGGGCTCACAAAAGGTACCGGTAGTTGGCAAGAACCAAGAGAATGAGGGAGAAGATATCACAACTATTTGTGGCATAAGTCAAACCAAGTTGTGCATAATCTAGAGATGCAATTGGCCAATGGACTTTTTCAACCATAAAATTTGACAACACGAATTGGCCGACCACTTGCATCGATTAAACTTCCAGCATATCCGAGTTTATGACATAAGAACGCGGTATCTACCTTCAAGACCTGCTTTCAGGGTGTTTCAATTGCCGACATATGCAAAGCGTTTACCTTATATAAATTTTCAGAAGTACTATGATTAAAAATCAGACTAAGAGCTCAAAACGAGTGTCGATGACAAGGACGGAGGTCAGTGTGATTTTAAAAAATGGTATACCCAATGACACTAAAACACACAAAAAATTAAATTTATGGAGTCATAATTCATTTCTTCGATTTATTCAAGTGTAGGTACATAGCCGCCACTGTTTGCATCACTGTTTGTAGGAAACTGAGTCTCGAAAAGTTGAACTTTTCCCAAAGAGAAGTACATTTTCAAGCGAAGCATGCCAGTTTGTAAACGCTGTATTCGCTACTACTCTACACCGAGTGTTTAAAATTGGACTCCTGATCATGCACAAACCAATTTTTCTGCCCGGATACACGGTCTAAAATTAGCTGGTATCCGGTTTGTAAGTGACTTTGACCTTTGCCACAGAAGTGTGGGGAGAGCCCGCTAGAGAATATCTACCCAAACAGTTCACGCCCGTCCGTCCTCCCCGCTCTGGGTCAGACGCTCATCCATTTTCGAAAAGAAGGACGAGCATGGCGTCGCAGCTGCAATGCATTGTGGTACTAGAGGGCGCAGTTAAGTTGATCATGGTTTTAGCGAATGGCAAAGGCAGTACGGAAAAATTGAATATTGAGGACTGTTTGGGTAGATGCCCTAGCGGACTCATCCCACACGTCTGTGGACGAGGAATCCCATTAGTCAGTGAGCAACATACACGTAGCATGTTTAAAACAGATCATCGTGGGCGATACCTGACCTAAGATATTCAGAGTCCTGAGGAATCTTCAGGTCAGGGAACGACACTGGGCTAAAATAACTTCCTACTACCGCGCCAACCTATTCTATGTCTGTGAGAGTGCATTCATCAGCTCGGTGCTGGATGACCAGATATTACGATATATGAAGAGCCACGACTTTGTAAAACAAAACCGGAAAAGAACAGAGATTATCTCCCCGAGAGAGGGAGCAATTTTCCTTGTAACGGAGGCTCCTTTGTTGGGCACTTTCTCTTCGATGGTCCAGTAACGAATATTGAAATGCATGCGTCGCGGTAGTGTCGCCACCAACAAGACAGACACTGCCCCACCAACATGGCTATGTTTAATCTATGTTTAAGGCAGATTGATGACACCATTAACTATACTGAATAGTTCATGATACGTATTGACGGGCCGGGCTACCGTAATCTCCAACACGACCACTGATAACTAGTCAACTTTATTAGTCAACTGCACGGAGTGTTACATCCGTGTGCGACACTGCAAAACGTGATAAAATTGCAGAAATACTTTTGCTTTTCCGATGTATAGGCCTACTGTTATGACAATGTCTTCTCAATAACTTTAACACTTACACAAACTGTATGGAACTGTTCCTTGTGAAAAACGGCCTACCAGCAATTGCCTTCAGTTTGGTGTTGAAAATGTACCTGTAACAGAAAAGCAGGGTTTTACAAGGCGGTTAATATGGAAAAATGATTTTTTTGTCTTCAATTTTTGTCTTGCCTTTATGTTTTGTACGTCGTGTCTTCTTTTTGATTGTTTTGTTTTTGTTTTTGTTTGCTGTCTCGTAGTTGTTCGTGTTGTCCTTGTTATGTCTTCTGTCTTAAGGGCTGTTTATACAAGCCTCTGCTTTTTCAACAGCCTCATGCTCTTTTCTTTTCTCGTTTGTACATGGACTGGTTTCCTTATCTTATCATAAGCTCCAATGTTCTCTTCTCATTAAGCACAAGTATATATAAAAGTTATTCTCATCCCCATAGCTAATTTCAATGTACTAAATTTCTTAAATTTCTGATGTATTTTCTTAAGCTTATTTATTTTGTCAATTTCTGTACCAACCATGTACCAACTTCTCTTAATTAATGTAATGTTTTTAAAAGAGTATGGTATAAACGTTTTCTTGAATTGAATTGAATGTTCATGAGAGCTCTTTTGTTGGTTTTTTAAGGTGATTTTATATTGGTGCCCTGATGATGACAATCATCAAATGTCATTCATGACAATCGACATGATTATAAAAATCTTTTAAAATTGAAACGATCACTGCTTTGGCACTGACGACACCTGGTAAAATCCCAGGTTGGGTATCGCCAATCCCGCTACATTTAATTCATGACGCAACGTGTCAGGGGTCGCTCTAGAAGCCAGACCTGGATCACGGACGTTATGTAAAAATGACGCAAGTGGCCTTGGCTGGAAGCCATTTTGTTTCGTTTATTTCAATATTGAGATATGCTTTAAATAACACACAAAGTCGTGACATGAAAAAAAGGATAAAAATAATGTATTTTACACTTAGACCAGCAAAATACCGGACGGTACCAGCCCCACCGCCCCTCCCCCCATTTCAGTAGGCGCAGGCGTTGGGGGTTATATAAGTAAATTTGCTTTGCCACAATTAGGGTGCAGCGTTGTTTTTGAACTAACAGCTTAAGTTTGAGTGTAAACTAAAAAAGAAAAAACCAACCAAAATTTACCACGATTCAGACTGTACACATATTTGAATCGTGTTTTTCTTATATTCAGCCGCTGACTAAAGCACGGGTGAAAATGTCCCACCATCAACGATACTATCCGAATGTTGACAGCAATGAATTTGGAGTTATGTGGATGTTTTCAGAAAACGGAGGAATTCCACCTTTTTTGTCATGTGACATTGGTTGATACCGGTGACTTGAACCGAAGTAATCATATTCCTCAGGTCGGGGAGCCAGACTAACATGAAGCGAGTTCTCTTCAAAACAACCTTGGTCCCATGAGTATGATTTTGCTGTGCTAAGGCACCTTTTCATATGCGCGTCAACACCGAGTATCGTGTCCGTATCCGTCAAAATCGCTCTCGGAGCTATTTAGACTACCGATGGGTCGATGTTTGTATCTGTGAAAGTGAAATGCATGAACGCACCGTATACGTAACGTCCCGTAAAGTACATGTTGAAAGCCACCTTTATGCTGGATCCAAACATGCTTCGTACGATGTTGCACATGAAGTAGAGCGCGTGTGACCGAAATGGACAAGTCTGTCATCAAAGGGCTGTAAACATGCGAAGTACTTTGATCGGACCTGCCATCGCAAAAGTGTTGCCCATTTTTACTGCTCGCAGAATAACAAAAATACGCCAGTAAAATATTTTGGTTCTTGGCGTCTGTGAACTTAGTTTGGAACGTCTGAATAAACACTTTTAAAACCCATTTCAAGGGATACATGAAACGCAGGAAAACAGGCATGATTCCCTTTGCTTGTGCACAATTTAACCAGCCCAAAATTCCCGAATATCAGCAATATTGGTTAGGAAACTGTCAGCTTCGGAAACTTTGCAAACGGGAGAAAATTCTTACATTTCAGTCACATGACCATAACAGCTCTTGGGCCCAACATCTAAACAAAATATTTGCTATCTTGGTCTTGGAACCAGAAGGTCTCCCAGCAATTCGTATTAAAAAGGTAAAGGTGAACAGTGACAAGTGAATAGGAATGGAAATGGGAATTATAATATGTATTCGGAACTGTTTTTGTCTGATTTCGACAAAGACACATCAGGAAGGCCCGTATATACAGTTATAACGAAAATTATTTTTCCTTGGGATGACTGTATCAAAATACCTACAAGTTGACAAGTTGAGTTTCGGAGAACACTCGGTCATCGATTAGGATGATAGGGTTGTCTGAGATCATTCTGTTGAAAAAATAATTAAAAAATCATTGGCGGCATGTAGTGGGTAGCAACAGCTTGTACGTAAACGAAAATTGTTTGGGGGTTTAATGTTGTGTGTATGAATAGTGGGCGTGGTTTAAATACACGGGGAATTGTACACTGGAAATATTGGTTACTGGTACGACTTAGCTCATTAGGTAGTCGAAACCAGTCTGTAGATTCGGCATTATGATCAAAACATCACCGATTACACTAACGTTCTGACCACTTCAGCTAGCAAAGTGGTTTGGATGTTAGGTTCATGGTGGAATTTGTAAATGGTGATTGGTATGCTTCACTGGGTTACGGGTGGAAAGGTGACCAAGATTATTCGTTTATATGGTGTTCGAGGTAAATTACAACATGTTTTTGTTCAATTAAGTTCAAGTAATTTGGTAAAATTTGCTAAAGGTTCTCAACTTGAAACTGTCTTACAAGTCTCTTAAAGAGTACATTTCGCTGAACGTCTCCCTCGAGAGCACAGAGAGCCTGTTACCATGCACATACAAATGGCGCAGTCGTTTCAAAGACCGTATGCACTGCGGAATACTCTGGAGCAAATTCAAAGACAAATCCCTGAATAAAAAAGCAAAATATTTCAATTAGTACAACGTATAAGCAAATCAATCATGGGAAGGCCGTGATAAGGGGTGTTGTTGTGCACCGCCATTTGCTCTGGTTAAACTTGAAAGAACAAAGAGGTGGAGGCTTTACTTTTGGAAAAGACGATTTCGGGGATTCTTTTGTGTCTCTTTTTCTCCACGGGAGGGAACTCATCCTCACAGGATCTGATAAGCCCCCTCACACATTACAAAACATATAGGTACATTACAAATGGCATATCTTTCAAAAGAAATTCTAACCCGTTATTTGGATTTCAACTGCGAGATAATACATGAAAATTCTACGCGTACGTTACAGGGGATTCAACAGAAATATTTAGCCGAATGAAAGGTTTTATTCTTACAATATATTTTTATTCAAAGGCAACAAGCCGGACAAAATTGTACTTACAGAATGCCCCCTACTGTTGTATTTATAAAAACCTCGTCGGGAAGATATTGTATTCTGTTTGTGGAAAAATACCTGCAAGGAAAAGAATGCGCACGTATGTTACCGGATTTTTATTTGTCTTGAAAGGGGAGATTCTAAGACGTATGGTGGTGGTAGATGAACCGGTCCTTTCTTGCGGTTGTGCACATGCTCAGAACTAACGCGCATGCCGAGAACTGCACGCGCATGCCCACATCAACCATTGCCACCACCCGTCTCAAAAACGGGAACCTCTGATAATTGCGTTGTTATTAAAATGCGTTTCATTTTAAATCTTTACAATTAGCTACGTGTTGAGTCGAAAAGACTCATTTTTCCATTCAATGCCGTATGGTATTGTTGCAACCCTTTGTAGAGTTAATTAAAGGGTTTGCTTCCAATATGACACTGCGCGGCACAGCACAGCACAAAGCAGCATTCAAATACAAAATGATTTAGGGGAAATAGTTGAAAATAATAGGTGTTGAATGCGTGCTTGTGTCTGATCGGAGCTACTCCGCAGTTTTTTGAACAGTGAAATACAGCAGTTGCGCAATGAATATTTATGAGGAATAGTATAGTATACAAATATGGAATTCTTCGAGGGATATAGCAAAACTAGCCTCTCATGGTTAGCCCCGGGAAACGCAATTGCTCTGTATATCACCTTGAGAGGATAGTTTTACTACACCACAAAATAAACACCTTCCCCAAAGATTTTGCTCAATTTATGTACTTAATATGATGTAATTACATATAAAAGGTAATAAGGTTCACCCTGAAAATGCATGTACTACAATAGCCCGGAGAACAAAGTTTTATGTAGAACCACTTACAGCGCTTGTATGTATTTTATTCCTTCAAATGCATTTGGTGCCACCCGTTCGATTCGGTTATTATCGAAATCCCTGTTGATATAAAAAGAAACCTGTGGTTAGTTTTGTTTTAAATCGTTGTTTTTGACCAGAAGCGTATTGTGCTCTGATGTTGATTACTTTACAAAGGGGTGTTTATGGTGAAACTGTAGCATACAAATAGGCATTGACTCATGAATCATGATAATGGAGGGGTCTGAGGATTCTATATTTACTAGTTTCGTCATTTACATATGAGTTTTGTCCTATATTTATATTAGTTTTTGTCCTATATAATCACCTTTGTCCTTCAAATGTACTTTTGTCCTATATATAGATTGGTTTTGTATTTTATGTATTAGTTTCGTCCTATATGATTATATTTCTCTCAGATTTATTTCACTATTTTATTTTCCAATATTTTTGGTAATTTCGTCATATATATATTATTTTTGTTTGATTTTCCTGACTAATAAAGTCATAAAGGTTGCCTAATAGGAAATGCAAGCGCATTCAAAGTCTCTCAGCATTGCAAACATGAACAAAGAACAGACAACAGTACCTTAGGGAAAAAAGTGAACGTATTTTCGGATCACATGTAAACATATGCAGCAAGGTTAGTAACGAACCCCATCCGTTACATTCGCGGTACCCGCTGCTTCA